CCACAGCAGAGGAAAAAATATTTGCTTCCTCTGAAACTAAGGAACGTTGGAAAAACACTATGAAGAAAATGAAAGAAAAATTGCAGTTTTAAAATACAGAGGCGTAATAACTTATAGTTTCAATACTGTGTCTTTCCAATCATTATTATACTGCAGGTGCAGAGAAACAGGTCTGATGACCGATGATGACAGTGTGGTGAGATGAACTCTTACAGTCCAATTGCAATTATTTGAAAAGCTGCTATGCTTTTACACCCCAAAGCGGTCATTATGATGCTCTTGGTGTTGTGCAGGGAAAAATCATATGGGATGTGTAAATTCCCATTTTGTGATGGTACAAGTCTGCAGTGTGTCTGAGGTGAAGGGGCAGTGATGGCTTTTTCAGAAATGCCCTATTAAGACTGAATAAAATTTAGAGGATTTAACTTCCTCTTTAGATATTCATACCAGAAGATTAGGTACCCCTGCTCATCAGTAGGGCAGCCTTTTAAAGATCCCCATAATATTGGATGATCTTTTGTTTTGCATGTGAATACTTTTCTCCACTTTAAATAATGGAAGAATGAAAACATCCTGCACAGTTTACTGAAAGGGTGGAACACTGCATTTAGTATAAACATATAAGCAAATGGTCTACTGAAATAAAGGCGCCACCTGAGGAACACATTTTCAAAAGCATTTTCAAGTTCTGTTCATAAGAATGATATATGGAATATAAAGCATGTTCCCATGAGGAAATATATTGTGCTTTGGTCAGAAAAGATACCTTGTATGTATATATATTTTCTTAGCTCTGTGTGCCAAGCCAGACTCCCCAGACAACTCAGATTACTGCAACAGAATGAGTTAACGCTCAACTCGTGTCACAGAAAAATGTGCAAAGATGTTTAATCACTAAATATAGGAAAAAAAAATCTCTGTCATGACCTACTGACCAGATATTTCTTGGCAATTGCTAATCAACTGTGCTAGCCTTTTATTGTCTATCCAACCATTATCTTCCAGGAAAGATCTGAGCAGAAGGTCAGTGCAGCTTAAGTAGGTATTGGTTCATTTGTTATCTTCCGGGCAGTTTGCTGCAGCGAACAGTCTGTTCTCATCTGAAGGTGGAAGACTACGACTTAATTTGTCTTGTTTATTTACCGTGGATATCCAAGTCAGAAGATAAGGATAGTTTCTGGTGGGATCATTTTTGAGAGTAATTTTCAGTGCTTTCTATGAACATTAAATTTTTAAAGATCTATATTTGGTAAATTGTGAAGTACTTTATTGATACTTTACAGAAGAAAAACATTAAGAAAAGTGCCCTGGTTAGCATGCATTTAGACTGTTTCTGTTCAGGGAAGTACTATGCTTACCTTTGAATAAGCAATTAGATTTGCATTCGTTTCCTGAAAAAGACTATTTCCTGGATTATGAACCAAAAAAAATCCAAGAAACAAAAAAAAAAAAACCCCAAACAAAAAAACATTCTTTGCTAGAAAAATATGAGGAACAAAGGGAAATGATAGGAATAAATCAGCCAACAGTGGTCTTCTGTGTCTGTAAACTAACTGTGTAGAATGGAGGCAATGGCAGTGTGTGTTTGTAGCTTCAAGTGACTGCTCCTGAAATTCTCCATGTTTTAAGGCTACTCCTTTAACCTCGTCTCCAGCATGGAACCACAGCAGGAAACCAAATAAGAGCTACCATAGCTCTTGGGCGATTGCCATTAGGCAGCCTGGAACCCTTCTGGTCCCTGGATGGGCAAGGTAGCGCAAGAGATGAGAGAGTTCCACCCCCTTCTCTCAAAGGCAATAGTAGCAATGGGGATCCCCTTCTACCCAGGAAAAACGAACCAGCAGCACATGACCTGCCTCTCTTTTGAGGCAACCTATTTGGTAATAAACAGCTCCATTTGGTATTGGTTTCTTCCTTTCACACAGCACCCATTCCCAAGTTATTTGTTAAACTGTGAAGTTTAGTTCACATCTCCCAGGGATTGCTTTGAGCTCTCTGTCTGCAAAGACATACCTCATTCTGATAATATCTACACTGACATTTAGGGTTAACCTAGAGTTTACTCCCTCCTTGAAGCCTGCACCAAACCCATCTGTTTTGTACCATCATTTTTTCAGCTGTGGTAATGCCTTAAGCTCTGTATTAAAACTTGAGTGTTTCTAGGAATTGACTTATGAACCACTTGCCTCTCATGTGAGGCAGCAGGGAGAGGTGCAAAAGGGCTGGGATCAGAGTAGAGAATTCGGGTGTTGCAGCTCTTGGGCTTCATGGGCAGAGAGGATAATGTTATGAGTGGGCCTCTGGAGAGCTGTGCAGATCAGGGATGACCTTGTGGAGCAGATATCAGTCTGCTACACCACTGGAGAGACTCTGGACCTTTTGGTGAGGCTGAACTGAGCAGAACTTGCCTGGTGCAAAGGCAGAGGGTGACAATTGTTTTTCCTTTAACAAAGCATGCTTCTATCATGCAGTATTTTCTCTGCTTAGTCTCAAGAACCAGGTTGCCTGTCAGGCCCAAGCATATGAGCTTTTAACTCCCATGGATTTCAGTAAGAAGCTAGAGTTTTACATCATTTATGTGAGAAATACCAGCCGTCCTTTTATTTGCAACCATTACTGCAAGAAAATTGGCATCTGCAGCTACTGGGACATGATTGTCTTCTTTCACGTTAGGTTTATCTTCTTCTGTGACACAGTGAAAGAAACATTTGTACAGCTAATAAAACACTTATATAGAGAAAAAACAGAAATACTATGTTCTTGTTGGATGAGCTGTTGATATAGAACTAATGTAGGACACATTTACTAGCAATGGTGATATAAAGGGGACTATTGTCCCCCTCATGCTGCTCACAATGTGCTTTCCCCTAAAAGCATGCTTTTTGTTTGGTACGAGCACCTCCCTTCGTAATCAGAAATGGGGAAATCTACTGGAATTTAGCAGGAAAATTTTTTAGCAGGAAAGAATTCTGAAGCTAGTAGAGGTAGACATCTTCGTCAGCCTCTATGAAAGGACAGTCTTGCAAAATGTTTAGTCAAAGGCTATAGCACCTGCCAAGGCTCTTGAATGAACAGCAGCCAGTTTAGATTTTCTTCTTCAGTTTGGTTATAAAAATGATGAAGTAAAGGCTAATAACTCAGTCAGGTCTATGCAATCTTGTTTTATGAAAATGACAATACACCACTGCATTTTTGTCTTTGAGGTATATAAAGAATTAAGTGAAACAGAGGCATAAATCTGTCAGTGCAATCAACAGTTACGAACAGCCAATGCTATGGCCCTGTCTGTCCCACAAGGATCAGTATTTCATTGTATTTTTTGGCTTGTGGAAGTCGCAAAACCCACAGACACACAACGTAGAAAATAAATCAAAAATAAAAAGCCCCCAAAAGCTCATTTGCTAAAACTGCCTTTTATTTAGAGCGTATCATTTTAATCTTAAAAACTTATTTTCAGTGGCACACAGCTTTCAGAATCAGCACCTCTGCATTTACTACAGAAACCCCTGTCAATTTGTGTTGCTCTAGTTCAGACTTTTCAATCATGCAGAAAATCTGACTCTCTCTTCCTGTTTTCTATCAAAGGTTTAACAAGACAGTGCTGCAGCAAGATTGCATGTTATGAGGATTCCACTCACAAAATAGATTTACAGCACATTAAATACTGATTCATTAATTCCATCATAAATGAAAACTATAATGAAAATGCTTTTATAAATACACAGTGTAGCTTTTGTGATGTAATACCATTTCTTTTTTGTTTGTTCATTTACAACCCAAATCACAAGAGCAAATTAACAAGATTTTACTTTATAGTTATCTTGTAACAAGCTCTTAGATATATTTCAACCGATGTGCTTGAGGCCAGCATAATGAACTAATCTTCAGTGTCTGGTTTGGTGAGGGATTTCTCAAGGTCCTCTGCTGCAGGGTTAGATTTCTTCTGGCTTGGAATAGCAGGTAGGACCCGACTTGGTTTCAGAGGTTCTCCTGATAGACCAGGCAAGAAAGAATGTAGTGAATGACTCTGAGAAAATTCTCTTTTCTGAGATCTGGAGGTTTGAGCTATATTTGGGCGAATAACTGCGCCAGTTCTTAAGGAGTTTAAAGGCAGGGACTTAGACTTCTTAACACCCTGAGGAACTTGATTAGATGGTAGCTGAACTGGAGAAAAAGAAAAAGAAAGATTGCACAGACAGTGAGAAACATGGCATTTTTACAAACGATCATTTTCTTAGGAGTGTTGGTTGTTTGTCTTGTGTTGTGTATGCTTAAACCTGCACTTCAAAGATGTGACCAAAATGTGAGTAAAAAAATTCTAAAGCCTGGCAGGGCTAATATTCAGCTCAGGAAAACAATTTCAGTGTCAAATAATTTACTTCACATTTGGTGATCAATGAGACCTGATAAATTTAGAGGTTCACTATTGATAAGCATTGTATCCATAGTTTATTTGAAGGAGATATTCAGTGTGTTCGGGAAGATTTCTGCAAAACATTTTTTCATCAGAAAATACAGACTGAAATAGAAATGCTCCATGGGAATATATTGTATTTTACAAAACTTTTGTGGTGGAATGCTCTATTACCCGGGGTAAATTCTGGTCAAAATCTTAGGAAGATGAAATGGAAGAAGCTGGGACACTGTCTGTGTTGCTCTAGGCACAGTCAGTCGTGAAGACAAAACATCTACTCTGTATATCATGAGCCACAAAAGCAGCCCAATACCCTGTAACAGACTTAAGACCCAAATTGAAACAACACGAGCTACAGCTATGATGTCTTGTGTGTGTCAACCGTCACACCTCCACTTGACATTCAGCAGTGTAACACCTTCACATTTTTCCTCCCCCTCTTTTTTTTTGGATAAGTGGACAAAGAAGATACTAGTAGTTGTTTCATTTTTTATGTCATCTCCAGCTCCAGTAAGCTTTTGATTACACTTACTAAAGTTTTCACTATAGTTTTCTTTCTTAATTTATGTTTGTCTTTTCTTATCAGTCCCTGTCTACAATTTTGTTGTTTGTGTTTTCTTTCTTGCCGTTCTGCTTGATATGTTTATCAAGCCCCCTAATCTCTCCTCATTATTTTTTTCCCTTGCTTAGGATGCAACCTCCTGGTGCGTTTGTGCTTTGGAGTTAATACAGTTCTATACTTTCTCTAAATTCAAATCCCCAGCTCCTTCATTCAGGCAACTCTTTAATTAATTTCCTAAAGTTTGCAAAGGAGAATTCAAAACCTTAATTACAGACCTATTTTTTCTCTGCCTTGGAATTCAATGTGAATTGCATTAGCTGCTATTCAGTTAGTTCTACTTTACTACCACTGATTCCTTCGGAAGATCTGCTCATTAAAACTGAATGTAAAATAGCAAAATGTCATATTGACTTATTTACTGGTTGGCAAGGAAATCTGTTTTCTGTTGTGATCACGACTATCTGAGCCCTGCCATTATTTTCTAATGAAAGTACTTATTTCTCCCATAGTTTTTCAGAGTTTTTTAATTTTTTAATGATATCCATTCTTGAGTTTGTATGTTTATAACACACTCTTAAGATGATTATTGCAAAACCATTTTTATTCTTTCTCCTCCAAGCTGTTTTGACCCAGATTCAATTTTATTCATGATTTTATGTTTGATTTCTTTGCAGTCATACATTTCACTAACATACTATGTGACCATCCAGTTTTTTACCTTTCCTAAATAGTTTATATCCATTACCAGTCTTTTAGACATGATACTCTTCTGTCCTGTATCTGTCATTCCTATACTGCCTTCCATAGCATCTTACACTTTGAGTTCCAGTTCCTCCATTTTATTCACAAGCTCTTTGTCTTGGTGTGCAAATGGTACAGTTTTTCCAGTCTAACCATATCAGAGTTCCTAGGTGGAGTAAGTGCTGCTTTGGCTACAGAATCTTCCTTGCCATTTTTCACATTCATTTTTCCTTGGTTGCGTTCTCATTCCATCCATCTTTTCTGTTCCACTTCATCTGTCAGGATGAATATATGAGAGTCTGTTAAGGTTTGCCTCTGAGAGAGTGTTCCAGTTTTAGGTTCCTCCTACTAGTCATGGCAGGCTCCAGAAGGTTATTTGGATTCTTTGGCTAATTTGGTGGCTCCATCATTTAAGATTAACCACAAATGCTTCCTAGTGGTCCAATATTACAATCCATTCTCTGAGCCACCTGCTTGTCCTCAGATTGCTATCATGCTTTTGACCCAATTCTTTACATGCAAGAAGAATTCTGTTATAAAACACTCTGCTCAAAAGGCGTCTCTTCCTGGCGTTATCATTCAATTTCCTGGCCAGCTATAATGAAAACTTGAGTCTTCATGTTTCCATTTTTTTCTGACAGCCCCTTTGTTTATTCCTTTTCCTTAATCTCTGAAAGAAATTTTCCTGGTGTAGGTCCAGATAAATTCCACAGAAATGATGAATGGACAAGAGTGTTCTCTCTTAAGTCTATGAAACTCCTGTGTAATTCCAGAGAAATGTCTGAAGTTAATCTAGATTTAGACTGGCTTAATAGAGGATAAACTGATAGATGAACTCATTCTTATTAGAGATAACAGACCACATAATCCACTGGTATGAACTCAGTAACTTCTACAGCCAATGCACCTGTGATAAGCTGGACCTTACAAGTCCATTTTAATCTTAAATAACCCTCCACCAAAAACAAACTAAACCTTCAACTCTCTTGAGGAACTCATAGATAGAAGAGTGGATTGAGGGTCTTGAGGGCTGTAGATTAAAAAGGCAAGAAAAGAGGACTTGGGGAATTTTAGATCAGTTAACCTAACCTTCACACCTATAAAGCCTGCCTGCACTTAGTGTTTCTCAGAAGTGGACCTCTGAACCTATGAAGTCTGCCTTCTAACTGCTCACCAAGCAATGCCAAAAAGAATGACTGGGACACTGGCTCAGTGATTGCAGGGGAAGTGAGAAATTACATAATTGTAACAAGGAAGGAATGTTAACTTTTCACAAATTTTCATAAACAAAATAAGGTAGATCCATTACGATAACATGGACACACAGTTAATGGGAGAAATGCACTCAAAGTGTAGTTATTTCAAAAGAGATCCTGTGAAGGATTCAAGGCATTCATTAATGATATAGATGAAAGGTGCACTTATAAAAATCTGCAGATAGCAGTGAGCTGGGAAGAGTTGCAGGGACCCTAGAGGATAGCTTTAAAATGCAAAATAATCTTGATAAACGGGCGAAATGATAAGAAATTTAGATAACAAAACTCAACAAAGACAAATGCAAAGCACTACACTTAGGAGAAAGAAGAAAAATCACAAACCACCAAAACACCAAATGCAAAATGGGGAATAACTGGCTAGGGGAGTAACAGTCTTGCAGGTAACAGGGGACACAGACTGTGTCTGAGTCAGAAAAGTAGTGCAGATGTTCAAGCAGAAACTCTCCAGCTTCCCTGCCTCAGCGAAGCAATTGCACCAGTCTTGTCGTGCAAGCCCCACTGTGCCTATAGATTTACCTAGTATATAGTTAAGAAGTCAGAATTTTTTCCTGTTGAAGACAAAGGCCTTCAGTGGGCATGAGAATAGCTCTGCATCCCTGCATTTTTTTACTAGATACATTGTGCAAAAGAGGCTGAAGTTCTTGCCATATGCTCATGTACTATATATCATATACTTGCTTCATCATTCATTATGTGTTTATTAGGAGCAGCAATTCTCTAAGACTCACCAAGTTCCTGTCTGGGGCAAAGCAGGATCTTTATAGCGAAGATTAAAAAAATTTTTTTTTCCTTTTCAGGCTAATTTCAATACACAATTCAAGTTGTGATGGTTTGAGAAGGCAGTCCTGCACTACAGCTGCCTGGCCTTTGGCAATTCAGTGTAATTCATAGGTCGTATTGAAGGTTCATTCATATTCAGTAGTTCATGAAATGGCTTAGTTCTCCTTTCCAAGAAAAATCATATACCATCAATACTTCATGTTAGTTTGTAATGAATTTGTATGAGCCAGGAGCAAGTACAATAGCAGAACTTGGTTGTTTTTGGAACATGATAGAACGTTTTGTGTTCTTTGAAATTTTGGCGTGAAAACCAAATGCATATTGAGAGGGTCACTTGTTTCCCTCTTTGGAGCATAGGCTCATGTTCATCCATTTGTAATTTCTACCTATGAGAAAAATCTCCAGAACACCTGATGTACTAGATAAGCCCTTCACGATGGGTTTAAGTAGAGCATAGTTCAGTGTAATTTTCCCCTCATGCACTGGGTATCCACCACAAACCAATGCTTCTTTAAAGAAGGGAAGAACAGCAGCCAAATTTCAATACTGTCCATCTAGTCTTGCCCGTCATATTTAGGATCCTCAGCTTAGGATGTTCTAGAATGATTTCAGGAGTGGGACATGGATGACTTTAAAACAATACATACAGTGACAGGTATTTCTATTTGTACTGAGACACAGGAATCTAGACCCAGTACTAGAGGATCTATGAGGACAAAAGCTCAGTGGTGGTTCCCCATGAAACCAGAAGCTATATACAGCAAAAGTGTCTGTAATTATTCACGTTCAGAGGGCGTAGTCGGTTACCCAAGGAAGAGTGATATTTTAAGAGCTTCTAGTCCAGAGAACCTTTTCTACTCAGCAGTGACTCAGGAGTGACTGCTATTATAAACTGCAGAGACAAAGAGTAATGCTGTCAGAGAGGCATTGCCCAAGGAGTACGTGTCCATCCAAAGGGGTGGCTCTTAGGTTCTCTCCCTTTACAAACAGTGGATCATGGTGGCCCTCTGCAGAGAGGAGGGTGCTTTTGTGGAATCCTTTGCTGTGGACTTGGGAAAGAAGAACTTCAAATCATGATGATTAATGGCAAAAGCAACCGCTGCTCCCAGACAAGTGTTGTTAAATGACCTGCTGAAACAGGTTTATTGTTTAGTAAGTGATAACCTCATGATGGCTTTGGACCTTCTGTATCATATGAAGATGTGAAAGCAGCAGAAAGTTCTCTAGAAGTCCCATATTTCTTTGGAAAATGATTTTGGCACTATGTGAGCTGTGTGTGATAGCTATAATTCTCTTGATCAAGAGGGAGTTACATAATGAGATAGGAAGGGTGTGGGGTGGGGGACAGAGTAGCAACATGCAGAATAACAGAGATGCCAGGTCATGCTAAGGCTACTCAGGAAGCAGGTGGAGGACTGTTTGGCCCTAGGAACATCTGAAGGGTGGGTATCTATAAAGATGTTTTAGTCACCCAAAGTCACCCAAATGCTCTTTTCCTAGGGTACTGTTTCATTCCTATTATCATCTTTCTAACATGTATTTTTTAAAGTTTTTGCTTGGAGGTTAAAACATCTCTTCCTTTTTTTGTTGCCCTTCCTTTTTTGGGCGATGTTTCTTCTTTCTGTTCATTTCTGACTAGTTTCAGTTCTCCTTCTAATTTATACTTATTTTATCTTTCTAGCTCCCTGGCTGCTTTTTTTTTTAACTGGTTTGGTTGCATATTTTTAGCAAACATTTCAATGTAACAAAAATATTAGAAAACCCCAAGTGTTTTCACTCAAACTTCATTGCACGAGCCATTTTCCTGGGTAAAGGCTGTGTCCAGAACAGTAATATTTCAGGGGCTGGATGGAGGGTGAATGAAATCTTGGCTCTGAAATAGTTATTTGGAAAGTTGCAGGATCAAATGTGTCATTTGTGTTAGCAAAGAAGAAATACCATCTATTTTTTGCAAATAACTTTCCTTTTCTGTTGTTGGCAACTACTGATGTTCAAGCAGTAGTGGCACCTGGATAAATGTACTGTGTTAGTTAATTCCACATCTGGCCCTGATTATTAGCTGTGATAATTATATCTTACTTGTAGGACACATTTTTTGGCATGTGGCTTGAACTAAAACCCTGGCTGTTCATGTAAGTTACTATAAGAACACCAGTGATAATGAAACCTTTTTTTTAGGATTATGCTTACAACTATGCTTTAACTAGAAGCAGAGAACATTAGTAGCAAGCTTAAAAACAGAAAGAATATTTGGAGCTGGGTTTTTTAAAGCGGTTAGATGATTTCTTTTCCCTTAGCAGGCAGAGAACACCACCTCAGTATTGGCATATCCCTACTTTTCTCCTTGCTCTCCTATTTACTGTGCAGCAGTAGTGCAGGACTCAGTTATTTCCCCTGTGCAACCTTATGTTTCCTGTAAAGCTGTGTAAGAAAAGCAGCTACCTCTGATGTTTAGTTTTTAGTAATGTTGTCGTAGCTGCAGAATTGCTTCTGAAGCTCAGATCATAACAAGCAATACATCGAAATGTGAATGCTGTAGGACCTGGCTGATCTGAAGGATAGCAAATAGTAAGTTGCAAATCCTCATTCAAAATATGTTGGGGCATTTGCATTTAGTGGAGCACATGAATGTGAGGGCAAGACACTGCTGGGAGTATGGCTAGTGTTTATATGTCAAGTATATCCCTGTTACTGGCTGAGTTGAACCTGACACACTCATTAAGTCTTTTTTTGACATGTTGCCTTTGCTTTGGAGCGCGGTGAGGCTTTCTCTGCTCTTCTGGGAGCTTGCCTCTTGTCTTGAGAAGGAGAAGCTGGTTAACAGTGTAAAGGAAAAAAGGCTGCTGCTATCTTGATCCCTTTATTTTAACTCCTGTATTATAGAACTGCTCAGAACAGTTGCTGTTAGAATGAGAGAAATGACTGATCCATCATCCTCCCATAAGAGCTAGTCTAGCCACTGTGCTGTAAGACAGAGTGAAATAGAACATCCTTTCACCTCTGTTACATCTAGAAAATTACATAAGTTTGGGGAAATCTGATGATCTTGATCTAATCCTCTTCCCTCTTGTTTTCACTAGCAAAAGGACTCAAAAATCAGTGTCTCTTACAATATTTTTCATGCTATCTGTAAAACAGTTATTCCTTATCCTTGCTTTCACCTTACATATCCAACCTTTCTCTGCTATGCAGCCATTAGGGTGTTGTCATCTGTCTCCAGTGACTCTTTACGTATTGTAAGTTACCACGGTAACTTACAATCATGTTCTGCCCTCTACAAAAAGCTACCTCAGTCATACAGACATATGCAATCCTTTTTAAGATTGAAAAAATCCTGTATTTGTGACAATTCCTGTCTCCTCTGCTCTGGAAAACAAATCTAGAACCAAATTTTCCTCTGTAGTGAAACAGATAGCTTCTACTAGGCCAACTTTATGAAATTCATCAGAGAAAAGGATTGTGATGAGCAGCACAAAAGGTCCATCTGGAAGCCAGTCAGTAGTGGAATACCCCAGGGATCGATACTGGGGCCAGCACTGTTTCACATCTTCAGTAATGACCCTGGATGATGGGAGAGAGTGCCCTCTCGGAAAGTTTGCGGAGGATACAAAACTGAGAGGAGTGGTTGATACACCACCAGATGGTTGTACTGCCATTAAGAGGGACCTCCACAGGCTGGAGAAAGGGGCAAAGAGGAACCTCAGGAAATTTGACAGAGGGAAGCGCCAAGTCCTGCACTTGAGGAGGAACAACCCCATGGACCAGTACAGGCTGGGGGCCAACCTGCTGGAGAGCAGCTCTGCAGAGAAGCACCTGGGGGCTGTGGTGGACAACAGGTTGAACATGAGCCAGCAAGTTGCTCTTGTGGCAAAGAAAGCCAATGATATCCTGGGCTGCATTTGGAAGAGCATTGCCAGCAGGTCGAGGGAGACGATTCTTCCCCTCTACTCGGGACTGGTTGTGACCACATCTTTAGTGCTATGTCCAGTTCTGGGCTTCCCAGTACAAGAGAGATATGGACATACTGCAGTGAGCCCAGTGAAGGGCCACAAAGATGATTTATGTTTGGAGCATCTGATAAATGGGAAGAGGTGGAGGGAGATGGGATTGTTTAGCCTGGAGAATATAAGGCTCAGGGGAGATCTTACGAATGCATATAAATGCCTGATGGAGGGGGAGTAAAGAAAGTCGAGCCAGACTCTTCTCAGCGGCATCCAGTGAAAGGAGAAGAGGCAGCTGGCACAAACTGAAATACAGGAAATCCCATTTAACATAGGAAAAACCTTTTTTACTCTGAGGGCAGTCAAACACTGCAACAGGTTGCCCAGAGAGGTTGTGGAGTTTCCATCCTAGATATTCAAAACCCAACTGGACATGGTCCTGAGCAACCTGCTCTAGATGACCCTGCTTTGAGCAGGGAGTTGTACTAAATGATCTCCAGAAGTGCCTTCCAACCTCAACTGTTCTGTGATTCTGTGAAAAAGGAACATAAACCCCGCCTCAAGTCTCACATGCCAATGTTTTGTGTAGGCACACAGTATGATACTGCAACTGAGACTTGCCTGTACTTACTTTTCTGAGCACAGTGGTTGTGTATGGGCACTAGGCTGTTCCGTGCAGAAGTAAGAACTTTTATTTTAGGTTGGTCTAAGGAAATCTGTTGAAAATTTTCACCTGTGAAATAAAAAGATAATCTATTACCATATGAAAATAGTTGTAAATAATATGGTACACAACAGTTGTCTGGTTTATAGAAGAGAAAAATTATTTAGTAATACTCAGAAATATGTTACAACAGGAAACCACCGACTGACAGAAGAGATTTCTGGGGACTGTTGCTTTGTTCTCTTTATATTCATTTAAAAGAATGACTTGGAGTTGTCCTGCTATTCACCTAATAAGACTATTTTTTAATATAACCTTCATGTATATCCTTATCACTATCTACCCAGCCCCCTTCCTCTCATATACTTTGGAATACTCTGCTATAGTAACTGGTCTTAAAAGAGGCATGGCCCAGTAGCTAGGTCCATGTAAGTGTGTTTGGACACTGGAAATTCATAGAAATATTCAACTAGATTTGTATGATTTCAGAATCAGAGCTTTAGCTTGTAAACTTTTCTGGCGGGATCTCTGCCTTCCTAAGCACTAGAACACAAATGGAGTCTAGCTCCTGGCTGTAAAATCAGGCTGGTTGACATCCACCAGCAGTGAACGTGGGCTTTAAGAAGGTTTTGCTGCAGGTGAAAACATAGCAGAACTGATATAAATCACAGCTTGATTCTTATTAAGCTATGTTCATGGCAATTTCATTTTTACCAGGAAGAACAGATAATGGAAAATGAAAGGTTAGTGGGCTAACTCTGGTATTTCACTGGTTACAACTAAAGTTGCCATTGGTCCTGTACTATTAAAAAAGACAATGGATGATGATGATCTAGTGCATTTCACTACACAAACTCCATGCAAAATATTAAAAGAAGTAGAAACTCAAGCTCCAGATCACCTCTTTCCCAAAACCTTTCCCTGTGTAGATCTTATTCTGCAATGTTTGAGTTCTTCAATTTTTTTTTTTTGGTTGGCCTCAAATCTGAGGTGAGCCTTATAAGGTGTTGTGAGATGAGCTGCCAAACAGCAGCTTTCCTAGCATGGTGTTGCAACACAGTTCACTGTGGAGCCAGGATATGCTCTGTAGATATGAAGAGGTGAGGGGAGACTCATGCTGGATCTGAGAGGACATCTTAAGCAATAGGAAGAAATGGAATGGTATGAATTGCCTTGGGAGCTGGATAACTGCTAATCAAATATAGCTATGTTTTGCTGAGCTGTGCAACATAAACCTATCAGAAAACAGCTGTAGAACAGTCTCCTGTAGAGGTACTGAATTAATTGTCAAGACTGCTGTAACTATGCAACTGACCAAACTGATTCACGTGAAAGGAGCTAAACTGGTGTTTATGAGACAAAAAAATCCATGTAACAGTGCAGCCTTCAACTCAGAATGGAACAAGATTCTGGTCCAAAGCCCATGGCAGTTGATGGACATTGGATCAATCTGCTGGCTCCTGTGGATAAAGCTGATGAGTTGTGGTCTAAAGCATGAAAGCTGCTTTTAGAAGTCAGAGATTTCCTCTTGTTATAGAGGAGCTGAGTGTCCAATAGAAACAGGCTTTGGTATCCTTTTACCCTTTGTTTAATCTTTAACACCTCTGCAACGTGATCATAAGGTGTGTGTAAAAGATGGTAAATGTCTTTTATACACATTGCATCTACCTCACTCAAAGAAATAAATATATCAATTCAAAAACAGCAGAGGATCAAGCCTGCTGCTCCCATTAGTACCATTTGAGATATACTGGTTTTATTGCAATGCTTATGATGAGAACTAATGGCTTATTATGTATGCACCATTATGGCTTTGATGAAGGGGGGTTATTTCTACTAAGAGATATGTTTATTTCATAAATGGAGCTATCTGGCAGCAGAACAAAGAATAGAAAGCATTATCATGTTTGCAAGGCTTATATGAATGCTTGGAAGAGAATCCTTGTTGTCTGAAAGTTCTGGCATCAAGTGAAAGTATTCTTCTGCTCTTCCTTCCTATCTACATAATATCACAGAAGAATTTATCTTTCTCTAAGGCATCATCTTTGTCATCCCCAGGAGTGTATTTATGATGGCATTTGTTTTTGCATGAAATAGAAAGGAAGCATTTTCTTGATTATAAAACGCGGGACTTTTCTGCATTGTATTTACTGACTTTTTTTACAGGTTGTTATTTGATTTCCTTTGCATCTGGATATTTAAACTCCCCATTGTGACGTTTTGCGGGGAAGCCAGAAAATGTTACGATCAATGTGGCAGAGTAAATCAGCCCTTCACTTTGAGAAAAAAACAGCCACATTGATCAGCTTTGCTCCACTCTCTTTCCTGGCCAAAAAGTCTTTTTTGGGGGGGAGGGGGAGTGGGGAGGGGCTAGACCATACTGTTCATGCCAAGATAAAAGCAATAATAGCCTATTTTTTTACATTACTTGTTGAAGCAACTAAAAAATACTGGGCTGCCGTACAAACCTATAATAAAGTATTGCCTTTGGCCTGGCAAATTAGCAATCTAAAAGAAGAATGGGTGATAAAAGAGGGGCTCTAGTTAGTTAGAGGGTGGTAAGGGCTGCTTGCCATTCCAGACAGACCTCCTTTTCCTCTTACCACTTAGAATTTCTTCATTTGCACCCTTTTCCCCGAGGAATGTGCACGACAGTCCATTTTACAAAAAGAGATGATTGCAAAGCTCATTAAAGCAAAATGCTTCAGATAGTGGATGCCAGCTCAGCACTGTGGCTGGCAAGGATTTCTCTGGCAATATTGGCAGTAGTTTTGGGTCCAGTCGGCCCTTATTCTCCCCAGCAGAGGGCAAAACAAAGTTGTTATTGTGAAATATATCAGTGACATGATAATAGGAGCCTCACTGCTACTCACAGCAACCTCTCCCCTTTGAGTCAGTGTCAGGTCTCAGAGAGTAAATTGACTCATCTTTCATTTCCAGGAGCACAGAAAACAGAAAAAAAAAACTCTAAAAATCCCCGTCTTTATGCCAGCTGTCTTAGCAGCAGTAAGCACAATAAGTAGCTCTGACTTTAATAAAAGACGTGGTCATATTAGACAGTCGGAACTGTGTGTTAGCTGAGAAAATAACTTGTAAATTGACTTCCCCTTGATTACTGATGCCCCTAATCCTGTCCTGGATATTCAGTGATTAGGAAATTACTTTTAGCCACCACAGTCATGACTTGAGAAACAAAGTATTAACGCTTCAGTGTGCATCAAAGACCAGATGTTGTTTTTTCCCTCAGGTAGGCCTCCTGCAGAAAAAGAGCAAGAAGGAAATGTCGTTCTGAAAGAGATCGGCCTGCCCCGTGCCGCTGGCTCGGGGAGCCAGGCTCACTTTGCTTCTGAGCCCTCTGAGTCCTGCAGGCACAGCAATTCCGCACGCTGGAGACGCGGCAGCCCTGAAGTTCATGCAGTAATGCAGTTCTAATTCACAGCAAGGCAGGCAGCTTTAATTACAGGGGCAGACAGATTTAAATCACACACAGAAGCATGAAGAGGGATAAGAAGTTCTTTCTATCGTGAAAATTGTAAGACAATATCTGGGTTGTGCAATGTATTCCTGTCAGACATTCTCTGCCTGTTTACATGCTTTTATTTTACTCATTTCACTGGAAGCCTTTATGCCAGCTACGGGAAGCTTTTTATTTTTGGAAAGTTTTGTTAGAGGGAGGTGGTACACAGAGAGCTGAGCTTTCAGCAAACTCAAGCTTTTTATCCCCAGAGGTAGTTAATAAACTGTCAGAGATAAAAGGACTTATTCTTCCTTTGCACAAAGATAGCTCCCATTGTGACAATTAGATTTCCCATAATTTATATGATTTTGTTCTCATCCATGCATGTAGATTGTTGTACCTATACTGAGCTTCAGTGCAGACCGTGGAGCACTGAGGGGATGCACAGGGCCTGATTCATTTCCCTGGATGGGGCTTTTTGTCCTAGGAGGCTCTTAGGAAACCACCTGTCCTTCCATCCAGAACAAATGAGGATTTAACCACATAGTATTCTAGAGTCTTAAGAAAAATCTATAATCTCATTTTAAGTAATGCAGTAGGTCCTTCCCCATCAAACACATTGATAGCCTAGCAGCTAATTCCACTGAGATATGTTCTCCCATAGTCATCCTCAGGTTTGGTTCATCCAGTTTTAGTTCATTCCTCCTCGTACTGTCCACATGAATGATCCAAAACATCTCAGCCTCACTGGGTCCTATTATGTTTTGGTGCAAAGAAGCCCTGCAGGTTTTCTTGTCTTTCACATGTGAGCCTTGCCTCACAGAGTTCAGTGTAGAAAGAGTTGTGCTGGAGCAATCCTTGGTAGCCACCTGCAGTTTGGGGTGGTGTGTGGTTGGGTGAATGGCGGAAGAGAGCACAGTAAAAAAGTAGTGACACCTATAGACCAGGTCTATCAAGCTTTCAGAAACTTGGCCTGATGTTCAGGAAGTGGAACTTTTGAATAGCTCTTTTTTCACTCCGAAAAATTCTTTCCAGTCTTTATTTGCACAATGTAAAATCACCTGTCATTCTGAAATTGCTTTCTGTACTCTCATTATTAGAGATGTGAACAAAGATACACTATTTGGTAGGGCTCATTGCTCAGAGGACAGTACAGTTTGCACCAGCATGCAGAGCTCAGGCAGTGATCTGACCTAACAGATGGTTACAGTCAGAGAGGGTTTCTATTCACTTTTCTTTCCATTGGTGGATAATAGCTAGTCTGTTGAGGTAAGAGTAGGTTAATTATTGCATAATGTTTACCCTTTTTTAATAGTGTAGCGGTAGCTCTGGGGATTGCTTTTGCTTGCTTCTTTTTCAATTGGATATTAGAGTGGTTGGAAGGCATGCTAGCATGTGTTTAATTTTCAGCATGTGACTAATCCCAGCAGAGATGAATTTGGAGACACTGATATTTTGAAGTAAATTTCTGCATACAGGCCAGCCAACCAGATTCATTCAGACATGGATGTGAGTCAAGCACAGTACTAGATCCCAAATCCTGCCAAACCCTTCAGAATTCTGATGCTCAGCTTCATTATTGTTACAATCCAATTTCCAAACCACAACATAAAAGTATTTACTCTGTAAATTTAGCAACCTGAATTCAGCCTTGGAGAAAACCTAAATACAGCACATTAAGCCAAAGAGCTTCCCACTCAGGAGAGGGAAGGGGATGACACTCCAGCCTGGAGTCAAAACATGTCTATAAGAGGAAAGGGGCATGGTGTGGAGTCATCTAGCATAGCACATGAGGACTTACTTGTTTGGATCCAGAAACCATTCTGAACACAGCTACAGATCTGAGTGCAGTACTATTCCCTTGCACATCTAATTCCAGTATTAAATGCAGACACAAGGCATGGCAGCAGGTATTCGCTTCTACTTCACAAAGCATGTACTTACCTTCCTCAGGTGCCAATATGTTTCCTAACTACCTGCATTTTTGCTGCTAGGCATAATCAGATCTACTGAAGTCTCCTATTTCCTACACCTAAGCTCCTTGCTTCAGCTGTCAGCCAGTGTCCTGTGCATACATTATCTGAGATTTGTACTACACAAAGGGAGAAGACACTGAAAAGGATATTTAAAAAATAGAAGTACCATGGTTCAGACTTACCTGTTTTTCCTTACCCAGCTTGCCACATCAGTAGAGATTATAGGATATGGGAGACTGAGAAGAAAGAAATTACCTGATGGAGAACTGGGAAGTGAGGGAAGGCGAGGAGGGCACAAAAGCAAATGTTGGGATCTGTCAGAGCTTACAGCATTTATCAGTTTGTCTGAAGGAGTTCTAGTACAGACATTGTAGGAGAGTATTTGGTTAGAATCTGCGTTCCAGGGGTCATTCAACAAAGTTTGGCAGCTGCTTCGGTGGTCTAGCAAATTGTGTTCACTCCTACTCTTTTGAGATCTGTGTGCAAAATGGTGGGTGCTGGTGCTGGTGGAGGAGAAACTTGAAGTTGTGCTCTGGGAGGCAGTTAGGAAAGAACTGCCCACAGTGATTGGGGGGAGACTCTGGGTTCTGATGGGCAGAAGTGCGTTACACTCCGGTTGTTTCTTTTCTGATAGGAGGTACTTCTTTGTGTCTGTGCTCCTTCTTTTAAAGTCAGCAGTGGTCATATGCTCATCTGGAATGTCTTTGCAGTTTGTGTCCATAATGCAATCAAAAGTGGTGATGATGTCATCTACTTCTGAGGTCTCCTCTCTAGGACATCGGTCTCTGTTTCTGTCTTTCTGATTGGTTTTCTGATCCTCTTTCTTCTTTTTGCAGGAGAAGATGTGGTTCAGCATACTGAATCTTCCTTCTTTCTTTAGGAGTCTGTTGTTCTGAGGAGGAAACTGATAAACTGGCTCGGATCTATTGGAAGTACAAATCAAAATGTGATGTCATTATTTACCAAATAATGTAACAAATATTGCCCGCTTTAGCCCATGAAATGGGGTATATACTATTCTGATACATTTGCAGGGGTGATTCAAGCAGGCAGAAAGTGAGGACTCTAAATTTATAATTAACAAAAATGTGGAAATGGTAACATCTGACTTCACTTTTTCTTCTTACGAGGTCTTCTTATTGCCTTTAAATCATCTTATAGTGCAGGCTCAGTGCAGCTATCAGGAAAAAAAAATCTTTTCTGGCTTCAGTATCTACCAGCTGCAGAATCATTATTTCTAACAGCAAGGCAGGAACCAATAATAACAAGAAGAGCATGCTGGGATCTTTGAAACTGAGTGGTCTTTGTATTATGTCATATTTGGAAAATGGTATTTCCAACAACACAGGCATTGCTAACCCTGTGACAGAAGCACTGGTTCAGCTCAGAGAAGACCTTGCCATCTCCTTTTCCTCTCCTCTCCTCTCCTCTCCGCTCCTCTTCTCTCCTCTCCTCTCCTCTCCCATCCTCTCTTTCTTTAACTATGGCTGTGGTAAAGTGGAGAAGCTGCTGCAATGGGATCACTTCTAGAGTACCTTTAGGATTTCTCTCAGAGGTCACTAATTCATGTACTGAGCAGATTCTGGCAGAATTTCAGAAGACCGATCAAGATAATTACCTAAAGTGGTGTTGCTGCAGCAGGTTTTAGATGAAATCTTTGACTAATAATCAACATCTCAGACCTATTCAGACAGGCAGAATGCAGCAGCAGGAGGAAGAGGAGGAAAGGTAACGTTAGCCATGTCTCACCGTTTGTAACACAGGAAATAATACTAACTGCTGACTGGTAAGGAGGGGGAAGACGAGGAAATGTGATAACGAACGTCCTTTTAAGTGCATACTCATTTACCAAAACTAGAGAATGGAAATGAAATTAAATGGGAGCTGCTGAAAAGTCAGAAATACAAAGAGAGAGAAGAAAGTAAGAAGCAGTGGTAAAAAAATATATTTTTTAACAGAAAAGACTTAGAAAAAGAGGTGGCAATCAAGGTACAGAACTAAGGATGAGTAGGAAAATACGCCCAAAACCTTTACCCTGAGGATGAAAGCTTGAGAACTCTAGGTCTGATAATTTATTCTATTAGCTAGCTGGAAAAAATTCTCTTGTGTTTAGTCAAACCCTCTATCTGATCACATGAACACCCAGCTAGTGTATAGGGTCTTCAAAAAGTAAAGAGCTTATATCTGAGTTCTGCAATTGTCCTGTAAGATAGATTTTGTGCACAAAAGTGACAGAGCAGCGCCTATACCCACATCTTGGTTCATAACCCTTTACTGACTGGCAGATTAGCTCTGTAACTGCAGAGATGAGTCTTTCAGTAGAGGACTAATTCTAACATGGCTATTTTAGTGGAAACTGAACAGAGCGTTGCATAAGAATTGAGGAGCCATCACTCAGGGCTCAAACCCTTCAGTGGCACCTTTCTTTTCTAGTCAGTGCCAACAGAGCAAGATAAGAACTGTTGATTTACCTGCTCTCTTGAGACAGCAGCTTAATGCATGCTGTGTGCCCACAGTAAACTGCATATGTCAGAGGAGTGTTTTCGTTGATGTCCCGAGGGCTGCTGTCTATCCCCAGCTCTAGCAGTGTGTGCACACAGTCAGCTTTCCCTGCTGCTGCAGCCCAGTGCAAAGGTGTCCTATGGAAAAGGAGGAATGTCATTAATATAGATTAATAATTTTGCTGTTGGAAATATTAGTGACACAATACAGTGCACTCATATGCTACTTATCCAGCATTCGCAACACCCATTTTAAAGAATTCTCCAGCCACTTGTCCTACACTTAGGTAGCTCTCACTGGTTCCCACCATTGGGGACCACTGGGGAATAAGACCAGAGAGTGACAGCTATCTGTATGCATCTGTTTAGCTGTAGTAAAGGCGGATGTGGGGCTGAAGAATGCCTACATGTCTTCTGTAATAGCATCTCTTCAGCTAGTGGAGTTGCAGGACGGGAGGTGTGCCTGACATTTTCAGAGCAGAACTTGAAAAAAAACTTTTTTGTTTCCCCTGCATAAGAAAAAGTCCTGCTTATCCTTACAGCAATCCCAGTTAGCAATTGTCTCAGGGCTCTCCATGGATGTAACAGGAGAAGAACCTCCCCTCCCCCCCAATAAATGAGAAGAAGTGGACACATCTACCAGGCTGTCATTGTTCCTTTGCCAGTTTCTGTGTTCCTTAATGGGTGCAGTCTTTGGAAACTATGTCCAGCTTCAAAACTGTAATACTTTGCTCTTAAATTACTACTTATAAATTTTTTTTCAACATGAAAAATCTGTAAAGCACAGAAAACACCATAATGAAAACTGCAAGAATAAAGAATAAAGTTGACTTCTGCGTGCCTGTTCCTTGGATTTCCTGTGTTTTCAGATAGGTGCAGTTGGAAACATAACTGAATGGAAATCTACAGTGTATCTATAGTGAACAGCTTATCTTTTTCCTTCCTCAAGTATGAAATATCTGAGACTATGTAATAGAAGGTCATGTCTTCTTTACTGAATTCTAAAGTGTAGTTAAACCCCTCCCTTCCCCTTTCTTTCCATGAAAGAGCCTTCTTTACCACTTTTTACTGATGTTTAGACTTCTCCAGAACCCTGTTGATTTTATTTCTGTTCCATTTCATTGGACTTTTCCATGAAGAATGCTATTATTTTAATTACCTGAAGATCTAAGCCAAGAAAACGTTGGCTTTAGCTCCACTGAGCAGGATAATCAGCACAGAATTTTGATGAAAGCATCAGAGCTGCAACAGTCAGTTCATTTTATTTCCATTAAATAAACTCGGGAGCAAAATTCCAAGGGAGACAGGTATGGGATGTAAAAGAGGAAAGAAGAGGACTCTTCTGCACTTATGATGCATTTCATCGTGGAAGGCATCAAGTATCCTGTGAGAAATGAAGGTGAAAGTTCTCCAGTCCTTTAGAAATAGTGTGTAAACATCTTAACTACAACCAGGGAATTTTTCCATTTGTTAAATGCAAATGGCAGCAGGATCCCAGCTTCAAGTTGTAGGATCCTGTTCTATTGTTTTGAAAAGAATGATCATTTTTTGATGGAACAAAGTTAAGTCAAGCAGTGATGAGATCCTTTCCCATATAATCTTATTTCCTACTAGGAACACAAAGTTAAAAAACAGTCTTACTAGTCAGTCATTATACTAGAGGTGATGATACAAGTGAGATGGGCTGCTTTGCAGGGTTGCTGAGCAAGCTCAGCACTCTGTGAGCGCGGTTCATTAACTAGGTCATAGCTTATGTAACAGGAAAAATGATTATAGAATAAATAGACCTGGTCTCAGGTTAATAGAAAGGAAGCAGCAATTTCAGTGAGTTTCCATAGTTACCTGTCATCCACATCAAGGGCCTGCAGGTTACACTCCGGGACTTTAGCCAGCTCACTGATAATATCACTGTAACCTGCAGCAGCAGCAATGTGCATACATGTTTTGCCATTTTCATCATCATAGTTTATTATCAATGGGCCCTGGTAGTGGTCCAGAATGATGGAGCACAGAATCCTGTTGCCACTCTGAGAAGGAAGAAATTGAGAGAGGAGCGTTTTACAATTGAGCTCACATCAAACTGCATTCTGTCTGCTAGAAAAGACTAAACACAATAATCGTATTTTGTTCTGTCTATACCAGACTCCCCAGGAATGAAATCCAAAGGCTTCCAGTCTCCTGCTGGGAATGGGGCCTGCTTTATGATTTTCCTAGAACACTCTGTACACTGGAGAAATAATAAATACTGTACCTCTGCAGTATCTCCAAAAGTTACAGAGTGTAAATTACTCAACAGCCTTCTCAGAAGTAGCTTTTTTTTTTTTTTTTGCTGTTTTGCTAAGCCAGAGTCCAGAAAGATACGACCCTATATTTTCTCATTGAAATGTAGGGTTGGAAGAGAACTCGAAAGACCAACCCACTCCTGTGAGTCTGTCCAAGTGTACCTAGAAAAGCCATGTCAAATATTTTCTTTAGTGGTTCTTAAAAACTTTTTTATCCAATTTGCTCCAGTGTTTCAATGTCTTAATAGAAGGTTTGTGTTATTCTCTAACCTGCAAATGAAGCTGAATGTTTTATATCCTATCTTGGTGGAAATAGAAAAAGAAATCATGCTTCTAGGTATTCTTCTTCCTATAACAATATAGAAACATAAGCCTGAAAGGTCTTTCTAGGTCATCAGATTCAATCCCTGCTATAACTTGCAGCTATGTCATATCATCTCTTCCATAAGCATATTGTGTCCATTAAAAGCATTAGTTTTTTGTCCCTCTTACTCTCAATGGAAAGCAGTTCAAGAACTTGTTTGCTTTAATGATTAGTATCTCTAATTTCTATTAATTATTCCTGGCTGATTTATATCAGCTTGTTATATTCTTGTTTCTGTGCGAGTATTATTATTTAGCTTAAATAATTCTTTCCTCTAGCTGGTATTTATTCCTCAAATGTATTTATAGACAACCATCATACCCTTCTGAGCTGTCCTCTTGCTGCATCAAATAAACAGGGGTCTTTTCAGTTTTTCCTGTAAAATAGGCTATTTCTCTGATTAACGTACCTACCTACCCACCCGTCTCCTTTCACATTTTATGTGCGTATCTTTGGAGAGGAATGATTAAAATTGTACCTACTGATATAGATACATTTTTGTGAGGTCTTTATACAGTGGCATTAACTCTTCCCTATTTCTTTTAGAAATACCTCTTTTGGAGCTATTAGAAGCTGCTAGTCATTTTAGATAACCTATTACACCAGGTACTTCTCTTCTGCAGTCATTTCCGAATGTACAGTTTCTAATTTCTAGGAGGAACTTTTGTTATTAGTACCCAAGTGCGTGAGTTAAGCATTTTATGCTATTCAATTTTGTTCCATTTGTGTTACTCCAATTTTCAACTTGATCCAAACTTTCCTGTGTCATATCCCCATCCTCTTCTCTTAATGCCTCCCAGTTTATTGCCATTGGCAGATTTAATCAGAAAAAATCTATATTTTATATCAAATTGTTACGAAAATATTACGCAAGGTTGATTTCCAGCCTTATCCCTGAAGGTAATTTCCTTCCAGCCTCTGCTCAACATTAATTACTACTCTTCACTTCTTGATCTCTGAGATACAACTTCCTTTGCTTCTCAGTACTTTTTCTTATTATTTTGTAAGATGTCTACTTATTCCAAACACATCTCTTAAAGATAGTTATCCATCTAGGTATATCTCAAGCCTCTTCTACATATTTTTTCCTTCTCTTGGGATGCAGATTCCTGTTAATTTTAGCAGCATTGATTGAAGACATTCCAGATCCTTTCCAAATGCTCTCAGTTCAGCTGACTTCAGTAATGAATTCCTTTAATTTATCAAAACTGTCCCTTTGAAATCAAGAACTTTTGTTTTATGTATACTTTGTTTAATCCCTTATTCAGAGTCTACTCGTGATCATGCCATCCAAACTTATTTTCTTTGACTGGACATTCTGTAATGTTCTCAGGGACCATGTTAACATTGTTATCAGTTCTTCTTAGTTGTTTGAATATTTGATGAAAAAGATGTTGCTCTTCATGTTTGGAGTATCTGGGCCCTAGGAATAAGAGCAGTTTTTTTCCTCCAGTCTCTATATCAAATGTTTAAGTCCTCCATGCTTACATTATTCTTAGTTACATGTTTCTGTCACTAACATCAGAGAAATCTGTAGTCACATTCAGGGCTAACTAAATCTAGAAGTCTGTTGTATATTTCTAGTATAAAACATATATTACCATCCTCACTCAAGTTGGTTTTGTTGCAAAAAAACTAACATGAAGTGTCTTATTACTTCTGTACAACCTATTGCAATATATAGACATGATGCTACCATGCTGCTTATTTTCATCTCTCCCGAACAGTATATACCTATAAAAACTCATATTCTAATGACACTGCTATACCCCTGGTTTTATATTATTCTTCTAAGTCCAAATTCTGTGTCCTGCACCTAAAGTTTCAGTCCCTCAATAGTCTTGCACAACTCCTAGTATTTGCGTAAGAACTTTTCCACTCTTCTTACTGGCATTTTATATACTTACAGGCTGTTCTATCTCCCACAGATCTTCCATTTTCTAGACTAAACAAACCATTTCAACCCCTCTTCATAGGTCAGGTTTTTCAACCCACTTATCATGCTTGGTGCTTGCCTTTGGCCTCTTTCCAGTTTGTCTACATCCTGTTTCAACCATGGCACCCCTAACCAGACTTAATTATCCAGCTGAGGCTTCCACCCTGCCATTGAAAATGGAATAACTACTTCCTGTATCCCACACGCATCACACTTCTGTTAATACATCCCAGAATGGTGTTTTGATGTTTGTTTTGCATCAGCACCATAATTTAAACTCCTACTCACTTTGTAATCCACTAGCCTACTATTTGTTTTGTGCAGACAACTTTCATTCCTTCGTGTAATACTTCTGTTCTGCTCTGAGTGTTATTTTATTAATTTCAGTTCATTCCTACAATTTATCAAGATCATTCTGAATGTCATCTTCTATCCTTAAGTGCTAGCTGCCCCTCTAATTTGATTTTAGCTGTGGGTTATATACATCTGTTCTGTATTTCATCGCCTCATTATGAAACAAATGAAATTATTCTCAGGATAAATCCCTGGTTGGACTGTTCATGAGATGTCCACCTCTGAAGATTATTTGAAGTGTCCTCCATGTTGCTGATAGTAAATATATAATGTATGTCATAAGTCCTCACCTGATTTTGTCTTACCCCTTTTTATTCATCCCCAGTGGGAGATCTTTTTTTACATGGCACTATGGATTCATTGACATGCGAATGCATTATATCCAGTAGTTTCTTATCTGAAGAAGCAGTAATTGCATCAAAGATGGCTGTTAAATTTCTGTCCTGTTTTAACAGTTCCAATGAGTTGTTAATTACTTTTTCTAAATAATCAAAGGATACTTTCTAATATTTTGAACCTTCTGCTGACAGAGATCTCTGACCAGCTACCATGTGGCTTTCCAGCTCTCTCCTCTTAGGGATGCCTTCTTATCTTTATACTCATATTGGCTTTTTTAAGTTGCACACAAAATTCTCTTGAAATGCTTACACTGCCCTTATTCTGAGATTGATAGCTTCAAGTTGAGGTCAACAAAAATGTAGTCTTCCTGTGGTAAATTTACCATGATCCCACAGTACTATTATTAGAACGGCGTGTTCAGTGGTAAATTTACCATAGGAAAATTACTTGGTTTTGCAGCTTCTGCTGTATGTATCCCTACATCTCATCTCCCTCCCACTTTTTTTTTCCAAATTCTTTTCAGCAACTTTCTCAGCAATTATTAGATATTTTTAGTTTTGTGTTTCTATACCATTCTGGAGTGTGCTGTCCCCTTATTCCCTCAGTTTTCTTTGGACTTTTGGCCTATCTCATATCTTTCAGTGAACTTTTCTTTCTTAGGTCACTCAAATCAATTAAACTTGCTTCATGAAGAAGTAATGTCCTAAAACTTTGATCCTGGAACCCTTGGCAAGGCAAACTCTCATTGTGCTTTACACCAGCTTTTGTCTGAGGAAAATTGTATGATCTGTGGGCAGTGCCTAGTAACAAATTCACTAACATGAGGATCATTAGCTCTCATTTTCACTTCACTAAAACCCCATTTTCTTTTGGTTGGTTAATATAAGGTTCAGCCTCTGGTAGTTCCATCTCTCAGTCCTTTCAGAATAAGAAAATATTCCTTCAAGAAGTATCTAGGCTGCTTTTTTGGTTTTGACATTTTTTTTCACCTATGTCTGCTCATTTTATCCTCATCTTTACTACAGCCTTTTTCTAATAGCTGATTCTCATACTTCAGCCCTTGTGTATGTCCAGCTGATATACAGAGATGTAATTTTCTTTCTGTAGAGTTCATTGTCACTTATGTAATATTCTGCCATAATGTGGCATTTTATTCTGCCAGATCTTCAATCTTACATAGCACAGCGTTTTCCATGTTCACTGCACTGTATAGAGGGTTAATTTTCTCCACCTCAGAATACTCTGGTGAAGTGGATATTACAGTGTCAAAGAGAAGGAACATGTATATGTAAGGGAGTCTGCTAGGCTGGCTTGTGGCTACCAGTAATGTAGAGATGGGAGGGGCAGAGGGGCCAGCTATGGACCACTTAACTGTTTTCAGGAAACCCTGACAAAGTATTTTTCCTCCCAGTGAATGCCTCTGGAGATGATGTGGTTAGATTGTATTATTAGTACTCCTATATTTTCCGTCTCTTGTCATCAGTGTGCAGTTTAAAGTCTTCCCATACCTACAGTCAGCTTTGCTGGATGGAAATTCCCCACTACAGCTCTTCATATTGCTCCTTTTCAATGTCATTCCACTTTAGGGCTGTCTGTGTTTCCCGTTCTTCCTTCTTCCCTCCTATTTCAGTTCGACACCTGTGAATCCAGAGCTTTGACTTTCTCTTTGATGCTCTTCTGCTCTGACACCCTGTGAATGGCTTGCCATTCTTACCACCATTTCACTGTTCTCTGCAGCAACAAGCAAATACG